CTATGTTTTGACATTGGTGTGTCTCACCATGTCAGAGGTTCATTGGGGTGTGTTTTACATTGGCATAGAGATACAGGATGTCGTCAGCACCCCATTAGGTTCCTTTTGGTCCAATACAGCTCGCACAGGAGTTTACCACTAACTCAGGCTTGTGTCTCTCTCTTAGTTGTGGTGAAAAAGCCAAGCTCACTGCCATTAGTCCAGGCCCTGTCCGCTCTTGGTGCTTCTGGGTCCTCCACTGGGAGGAGGTGGGGGGTGAACTTACTCCCCTCGGCCCGTTCCACTGGGTGCAGCCCTTCCACGGACGCTGAATGAATGAATGGGTGGGGTTCAGGAAGAAGCGTAGGGAGCCCTGGGACAGGACAAGAAGTACTGGGCGGGAAGTGACATGGAGCCTCCTGGACAGCAGGGTCAGCGCAGGGGCGTTCTATGGGTATGCTTTCTTGGGGTCCGCTGTGTGTGCTTGGGGGCGGGGGGGGGGGTGTTCTACCCTAGGGGACAGGGTAGAACCGCCCCTAGGGCTTTCTGAGACTGTAACTCTTTACGGGAGTAGAAAGCCTTGTCTTTCTCCCTCAGAACAGCTGGTGGGTTTGAACTGTGAACCTTGTGGTTAGCAGCCCAAGGTAGCCACACCACCACCGGAGCTCCTCTAAGTCTGTGGAATTCAGCCACACTGTGGTTGGTAGTGGTAGTTGGTTCTCCATCAATGCTGTGCGGTCGCTTATTGTATGGACACGCCCCAGTTTACCACTTCTGCTAGATCACTGGTTCTCAACCTTCCTAATGCTGCAACCCTTTCATACAGGTTCTCATGTGATGGTGACCCCCAACCATAACATTATTTTCATTGCTACTTCATCACTGTCATTTTGCTACTCTTAGGAATCGGGCGACCGCTGTGAAAGGATCGTTTGACACCCCCAAAGGGGTTGTGACCCACAGGTTGAGAACTGCTGTCCTAGACATGGGGCGACTCCTAGTTTAGGCCAGTACCGCAAAACTACTAGGAACCTTCTCGTGTATGTGCAAGTAGGAGCTCTGGCTCAGTTAGAGGGCAGGGTTGTTGAGCTATAGGGATGTTGCCAACTCAAGGCCTTCTCTCTCTCTCCTCCTGTTCTTTAACTTGATAGTCTATTCTTGAGCAGCCGCAGCTTCACTCACGACTTCAATTACGGTCTACACACCGACAACTGCCAGATTTATGTCTCAGCCCAGCTCTCTCCTCTTAGGATCCATCCCAATAGCCAATTCCCCACTTAACATCCCCACTTGGACGTCTCAGGGCTCCTCAGATCCAGCATGGGCATGATCTTAGCTCCCAAACGAGTCCTTTCCTGCGCCTGTGTGCCTGAGCTGGCGAGCCGCCTCCCACCCATCAAGCGAATGGATCAGAGCCTGGCGCTGAGCATCCAGCTGATAGGACCTCTCCGCTCTACCTCCTAATTCTCTCCCCTCTCACTTGACCACCCCATTGTCACCTGGACCCCCGCAGCAGCAGTGGCTTCTGAATAGGCCTCTTGGGAGGCCTCTGGCTTCTCTGGCCCATCCTCCATGCAGGAATGTGGCCCTCTGCTTTCACAGTCCCATCCCGGGGCCTCTGAGGTCCTGCTGCACGGTGCAGGGCCCGCCTGCCCCTCCAACCGGCCCTCACCACCTCGCCTCAGGGCCTTTGCACGGATTCTGTTCTCAGTCGGGAGTGGCTCCTCCCTGCCACACACAGGCCTTTGCCAAGCTCCTTCTCCTCATTCTTTAGACTGCAGTTCAAATGCGCCTGGCTCGGCGGACTCTCCACAAAAGCACAGGACGTTGCTGGGGTCATTGGTGCTTGCTTATCAGTGTTTGTAATGAAGTGCTTTATTTTTGTGATGTCTGGGTCCCCCATTAGACCGTCAACACCACTGTCTGGCAGGGTCTGGCCCCCCATTTGTCCTCCACGGGGTGCCTAGCTCACGGACACTCAGCAAACACTTGAGGAGTACACGAAAGCAAGGGACTGGGC